CTCGAATTTCAAAACCATCTCAGGAACAGGTTTGAGGCCTTGAGCACCAATGAGCATAGACCAAATGAGCTCTGGGAGGATATCAAGAAAATCGTCCATGAAGAATGCAAAAGATCATTAAAAAAGATGAAGAAGAAGAAGAAAAGACCAAGATGGATGTCAGATGAGACTCTGAGAATTGCATGAGAGTACCAAGAAGCCAAAGCTAAAGGAAGAAATAAAGAACTCAAAGTGCTGAACAGAAAATTTCAAAAGGCAGCTTGGGATGACAAAGCAAGCTACTATAATGAAATGTGCAGAGAGCTGGAGTCAGAAAATCAAAAGGTCTACAGCCAGGAGAAGATAAAATAGATGAATGTGACCTTCTAAGAATCAAATCCCTATGCACATCCAAAAACTTTTCCAACAGGGTAAAAAGGAAGCTACAGACTGGGAAAAAGTATTTGGTAATGACATGTCAGATAAGCGACTTATATCTAGAATTTAGAAAATACTTGAGCACCACAACAAGATAAAGGTAAATAATCCAATTGAAAAATGGGCACAGGATATGAATAGACACTTCACCAAAAAAGACATTCAGATGGCCAACAAGCATATGTAGAAATGTTCAAAATCCGTAGCTCTAAGAGAGATGGAAATCCAAACAACTGTGAGATATCATCTCACCCCAGTCAGAATAGCAAAATTTAACAGAACAGCAAGCCACAAATGCTGGTGAGTTTGTGGAGAAAGTGGAACCCTTATTCACTGTTGGTGGGAGTGTAAAATGGTACAACCACTGTGGAAGATGGTATGGCGCTTTCTCAAAAAGTTGCAAATAGAGATACCATTTGACCCAGTAATTCCACTACTGGGAATATATCCGAAAGAGAGCATAACTGACATCCAAGCAGATATATGCACACCAGGTTTATCGCAGCTTTGTTCACATTAGCAAGGAGGTGGAAATAACCCAGGTGTCCTTCAACAAACGAATGGATAGAGAAGCTGTGGTATATTCACACAATGGAATATATGCTGCATTGAAAAACAAGGAACTCATGCAATATTATTCAAAATGGGTGAGCCTGGAGGACATTATGCCGAGTGAAATATCTCAGTCACAAAAAGGACAAATATTGCATGGTGCCACTGCTGTAAAATGGGACTGATATCAGGGTTGTAAGACTGAGAAAAACGGGATAAATTGTGTATACTGCACTGAAACAGATGAGGGAGTGAATAATTTAAAAGCATGTATGATAGGGTATTATGGTTATCACAAGAGCCCACAATTCAGGTTGCATAGTACTTGGGGCGGTGGAAGGGGAGTGGGGCGGGGGGGATTGTGTACCAGGGAGAGAGTGTTTATTTTACTTTTTCAAAGAGAGGAGTGAAC